GTGCACTTTACTATTGTTATTATCTTTGCAATTATTTTGCTTTTTATTGAAGTGTGTTTGATTTACAATGTTAGTTTTTGGTGCATAGCAAACAGATTCAGTTATGCATATACATATATATTTTTTCAGACTTTTTCCCACGATATGATATTATAAGACATGGAACACAGTTCCCTGCACTATACAGCAGCTCTTTGTTTTATATCTGTGTTACATAAGGTCATGTGTATCTGTGAATCCCAAACTCTTAATTTATCCCTCCCCTGCCCTATGCACTTTGGTGAACATAGTTTGTTTTCAACGTCCATGAGTCTACTTTTGTCTTGTGAGTAAAATCTTTTTTCATTTTTTAATTCCACGTATCAGTGAGATCATGGGATAAGTGTTCTGCTATTTGACTTAACTCACTTAATATGATTGTGTTTTTATCCATCTGTGTTGCTGCCGATGGCATTATTTAACCCTTTTTAAACTACACGTGGAACACATACGTGATGAAGTATTGCTCAGCCATATTTCAATGCAGTATGCCGATCCGAGGTCCTGGACACCCCCCCCCCCTTGGCATTGGGGTTTTCTCTCCAGGAAAACAAGAGTATCAGAAACACCTACAAGGGCCAGTGAAGCCTTCAGCCTTGGAATCTGCTCTTCTGGGCTTCATGGCCTGAAGGGCTTCCTTCCTTGCAGGACATTGATTAATCCTGGGATGGTGTTAAATTCTGTTTTAATTTTGAAGGAGGCTGCACTCTGAAGTTTGCCAAAATGTTTTGGGGATTTTGCCCGAAAAGGGGTGGTAACTAACTAAGTAGGAAAAATGGTCGCTGCTTCTACAATTAGCTGTAGTATCATCAGAGACAAAACAAGTAAAAGTGTCTCAGGGCCACTTAATTAATTTCACACATACTTTGATGGCTGCTCTAACATGCCGGAATCATTTCCCCCTTTGGGGGAGACAGAAACTATAGCAGGATGCTCCACTGTGAAGTCTCATTCAGTAAACAGATAGGAGTTGAATAAGTAAGGAGTAAATGGTGTACATCGCTCAAAGGGCCAAATAAAAGGGGGAGGTCCAGAGGCAGAGACCCCTGGAGGCTCGTCACAGGTCCCCACTGGGTGAGCTGCTGTAGTTCCCTGAGCCTGGGCTGCCTTCAGTAGCTCGGGTGAGCAGGGAGAGTCCGGCTCCAGTGCCCAATATGACTGGGGGAGACACACTTCCAATCTGGAGAAATGCTTGTCCAAGCCTATTGAGAGAAAAGACTGACAAGAGCCCAGCTATTCCCTCAGAGCCTGTCACTGGGATCAGGAGGATGT